ATGATGCGTGCAGCTCATATTGCATATTTCATCTACACTGTCAATATCGTTTTATAAAAGTCCGAATGATAGCGACCAACCACTTCAATGCTATGGTGAGGCTTGCATACTATCCTGATCGCTGAGTGACAGTGGCTACGATGAATGAATGCTTCTGAAAATACTGTCAATCTGCATAGGTCAGTTGGATAGCGAGCGATAAATGACTAAAATTAACTGTCATTATAGACTTGACTACTTCTTCGACTGCTGGAGGAAAGAGTCTAACAACAGTGAGCAGTTCTATTGGACAAGCAACACTTAACTTATTCTAGACATTTTATCTTCCATTACATCTATGGTGAACTGAACAGTTCAGGTGAAGTCTTCCATAAGGACAGAACACGAATAGTGACATTTTAGTGCACACCACATACAAACAATCAATCCCATCAGAAATCCTCATGATACTACAAACAAGTAAACTCAATACGTTTTCCACTTTACATACAATCGATAGACAACAACTTGCAATATACGGACAGTCAGGAGAAATTAACTGTCTGAATATCTCTGTCGACACCACAGCCAACTATGAACAACAACCATCTGCTTTCATACCCTTACATTCTAGGCATCTCTGCACACCGAAAGTATAAACCCTTACTTTGAACCCCATGTTCCTACTCCAGTTCACTGAGTAGCAAGTGTAGTTTTTTCCAAGATACACTTCGAACTACATATCAAATCAAACTTCTCAGTGTAAAATCAATCAACAAACCGTCACATCACTAGAAAATAGAAAACACTATTAGACATTTCCTGACTGTAGAAGTTCATCCGTAGGTCAGTCAAAAAGAGTGCCTTTCTCAGCTATCCGCATAAGCCAATCTTAAGATTCTCGTCAGAAGCATCACCATTCCACTCATTCTTACTAAGCACTGCTTTGAAATTCACAGCCCTTCGGGCTTCGTCTACTAATCGCGAATATAAGAAATACCAGAAGTCAGTTGCTTAACATACTTCATTCAAGCAGGACACCGAAACAAAACCTTGCATGTTTAACTTCACAACCACAACACTACGCTCAGTAGAAATATAAGCGCCTCAGAAACATCCAAACTTCAATACAGCCATTAACACAATAAAGCCTGAAAATCTCATTTCTCACACAGAAGTAACATTAAGCGCCATACATTAGACAAATGATACACAAGTTCAAGCACACAATCTATGTCAACACATTGAGACATCAAAAAACGACAAACAAAACTCATCAAAACCACAAATGTCAGCCAGAAAAAACTAATTTAACGACAGAAGCATAGTAATTGCCAAAGCATATAACATTAACTCAACAGCAGTTATGGACAAATCAGATTACATTAAGAAAGTCAATCAACAAATTCAAATGCATCCCTATGAGGAGATTACGAAACCCACAGACACGCTTATCAATAATAAGGATCAAAACTCCAACAGCTGGTCTCATACACCGAATGAAGTCATCTCTGGGTGAGTCGACATGGTTTAACTTAGTGACCAAGACTAGTATTCCTAGTAGAATGCACGGCATTACTGTCAAAACTCATGGGACAGGATAATCTGCTAGGCCAATAGTCGACTTTAGGAACATTACAACATATGAACTATCCAAATATTTGGAATCTACATTATGCCCGATTAGATATCGGTCAGACTGCAGATTGATTAACTTATTTGAAATGAAGTTGAACCCAGGGGAAATTCAAATAGCAAAAGATCTACCTAGAGCTACAATTATCTCATCCGAAATGGCTATAAGTGGGTTCAGTCGAATATGTATGTAGTTCAGTTAGGAGCCTAACTAGTACGTCAGATGATTTAAGTGATGAAATACAAAAATCGAGAAAACAATACCAGTGAACAACTACCCACCAGGTTTTATTCAAGTGTGTGATATAGATGATGAAAACATAAGTGATAACGAATTCAAAACATCGACAGCACTACCATGTAAAGAAGGAACATCAGAAGACCTACATAGGAGTCTTAATAACACTGAAACTAGAGGGACATTTAAACCAACCCATTTACTCACAGACAAACTTTGTCACCTTCAACACTCAATAGTTATGTTATCATAACATAGAAATCCCGCCAGGTCTAGAAACCTTGGCCACGCTCAGTTGAGTAGTCTCGAGAAAAGTGCCCCCATTGTTATGCATCCACTTGCGTGCTATCACACAGTAGGATGGGACAGAGTTAATGTATTACAAATAAGATAGTTAATCACATCATAGAATAAATTTATTTCATGAAAGCACACAGTGATGCAGTATTATTTTCTGATGACGTCGCGACCACAATTTATTGCTCACAACCATTACGATGCTCACATAACTCTCAGACATCGTCCGTATGATTCCATTATTTCTTATCCTCTGATTTTATTCGTACTAATATTTCCCATATCTCTGATATTGGCGTTGCGTTTTATTCCTATTTCGTGTGTTGTGTTGTGCTAGGCGTAGATTCCATTGACAAGGATCCACTGATCGATCAACTTCTCCTTCCACTCACCTATATTGCCTATATCACTCCAGTGTCCGCACACATAAACTCAACAACACAGGGAATAAAATCTTTACTTCGGTCAGGAAATTAACTACGACAATTAGTTATATTAGATGGTTGGAGGCAGTCGGTATGTATATATGTATAATACATATTATAGCCAGTGGTGAGGATCTAATTGATAGGTAAATATTTCCTCACTCAATCCTTTTGTCATCCAAATGTCCAAATGGGGATTTTCCTTTCATATTTAAAACCATGCGTCACTGTCTTGGTTGGATACAGTAAAAACGATGTCAAACCTCAAAATAACCCATCAATGGATGGAGGATGACAATACAAATACGCCTTCCAATCCACCCTTTCAAACTGCTTCCAACAAATAGCTATTCCGTCATGCATTCAATAGTGCCAGTTAAAATCACAATCATTTGGACAATGTTGATTGATGCAAACTCACTCAGACCAGACTGCATGATATTCAACAAGTTCGTCTCCTGTCCATGTAAGTCTGTCAAATGCTGACTGAATTCATCATTTCTTTTAAAAAGCTCATTTAATGCAGAGTGAGAGAGAGAGCGAAAACAAGAACTATAGTTTACCTGGTAACTGAATTAACGTTATCAACGCCAGAATATTAGCTTTCTCAGGACTGAATAATAGATCAGTAAATCGATCGATAACTGTAACTCGAAGACTTTCAGGAACTTCATTTGGATCTTTCTGTTTCTCCATAAGATCGCGAAGAGCCTGACTCGCTGGTTTGTGACCAACATGTGACAAATGGGCTATATTTGTAATCAGTTCACATATCACTGAGTGAGCTGATTGTATGCATTCCAATTCCCGTTGACTCAGTGTAAGCTTTCCCACTAATCGGACACGCGAACGAGCCATACCACGTGTCAAATACAGGGGAATTCGACAAATATATTCTTTCTGTTTACAAAAAGAAAGAAAAAACACCAAAGAGAGTTCAGCTTTCTTACTTAATAATTCCTGCTATAATTTTAGACTGCATCAAATCATATGAAGCCAATAATGTGCAGGAGGTTACAAATGTGTCCAAGCGATCATTCACATTCATAAATAACACTCCACACTTAAGTAAAACCAACTTCCCTTCGTCGTACAGCTGTTAACTGATTTGTCTTGTGCACAATTTTCTTCATGTACTACGTTATGAGCCATAATCAATAACTGATATCTAACATGTCAACCCCGTGGAAGCAGATAGAGCTGCTCCAAACCCTCAGAATGTTGAGTAATATCCGTGTGCGGAAACCAATGAGACACAATCCCAGAATGCATAATAAGAATATTAACTGCGAATTATCAAAACTCAAGATTGAGAAAGTAGGAAAATGATCTTAAGATAATTTTGAGACATTACCTCCCCCAGCTTCCTGCACATATTTGTCAGATAACATTAGCTTAACAAAACACTTTTCGGGGAAGTGTTTACCCACATATTCCAATAGATAAGTGTATGCATTCGACACCGAAATCCAACGGCACATAGTGCAGACACAACAAAAGAAGACTTAAGTGAGCAGAAGTATATCAGCCGTGGAAAGCCGAGCCTGGCGGAATTGTCCACCATAATGGCAGTGGCCTTTCGGACAAGATGAGGACTCAAATTCAGCTGGAGTGGCAACTCTAACATATTGACTAGGGTCGTTTAGGCTCATTCATCAGGGTGGGTTTGGAAGTGACTGGGCACTCGCCACAGTGCCACCCACTAGTCATGTTGTCGTCCACGAGAATACATGATTTAGTGGACTCAGTCAGCCAGCTAGTTGTCAGCGAAATTAGATAATTATCACAGTGAAGTTTCTCCATCACTACTCAAAACAAATACTAATCAAGGTGTAATCAAGTGGTCTCACTCCTCTTTATAAGTCACTGACTTCTCAGATCATGAAAGTTAGAACTTTCACTACTCTAATTAAATGCAGTCCTAATGATATCACACCACACATTCAACGCTGTATCCTGTAGTGAAGCTTCTGGTCCACAAGGATAAAAGAGGTTTCCACTTATACACATGTGAAATAACACCTCACAAGGAAACGAGAGAAAACAAAATATTCCCTCAGAGATAACTGTTCATAAAAAAAGCTTAGAATCACCTTGGAAATCGGTTTCGAAAACAAAAGCCCAATAGCCCCGTCTGCCTTTTCGAAACAACTCTTCTCCAGACAACAAAGGTTGGCAACGACGTCAGGTGCAGGAACAGTCCACGTATACAAATACACTGTTGTTCCGTGAGACGGCAAGACTTGATATGGAAACGACAAGCATCTCGCACGCTAGAAATCAGAGTGGTCAAAAGTACTTAATTCACCTGGATAAAACTGAAATCAAATATTTATAATCAAAGACAGACTTTCTCCAATGCTTATAACTAATTAGTACCTCAGGAGGTGAGTATTCGGTCCTCCGTAACCTAAACACCACAACCCCTATCAAATCCTTTCTTGAGAAATGTGACATGCTGGTTGGAGAGACGAAATCACTGAACACAAAGTCCCAATCATCTTGGGTGGCAAAACAATGGTCAGAAGCCTTCCACATAATTCCCATTGAAAATATAGTCATGTTCACGTAACACTTTCCCAACTCACGACGAAATCTACGTTTTCATATAGCTGTTCAATAGGGTCGTTAATCCAGGTTCTTAATCTACCGACTGAACGCCTTGATTTCTAAATATTCTATAGTGAATTTCATGAATGCCGTCAACTCTAAACCACACGGATAATCGTGCAATTTAATCCAAACCAACAGTTACTGAGCAGCCATAAGACTACTTAATAGTAGATAAATTTACAAACTAGTCCTTCTGTCTGAAACAAACATGCTTACATTTTCAGAGGCATACATTAAACACTGAGTTCCCACTTGAAAGTGATACGTCTCCATACAGATGACTCAACTGAGAGTCAAGTCACCTGACTGAATTGAATCATTAAATCATTTCACACATATCAACTCGCAAAAGGTCAATCTCAGCAACACGTTCACAACAGAACAAATAGAAAACAAGTAAACTACTGATTACCGGGACAGGATAGAACTGAAATCTGATATTCGCTGTCTGATTTTGTGAGTTCTTTTTAAGGTCACTACTTGAACTACTGGATGCAGAAACAGTAGGCGTTTTGGTCCCAAGTGTTAAAGGAAGTAGCTCTTCTTCAATATTAAGAGGTGGAGGGTTATCACAAACTGGAGGTATCCACATTGATTCTACAAAGTACAATTGAAAACATTACCTCTATATATCGAACAATAAAAAGTCGTCTAAGCTAGAATGGAATATTTATTTACAAGATACAACTCGAACAATCTATTGGAAAACGCAACAGTTTAACGTAGTCATTACATTTATGAATGCAGACCGACTGACCGAAGAAATGACTAAACTCACGTTGGTGCCGTGCACAAATCAAATTATCAAGTGAGACCATTAAAACAAATCAACATACACAGCAGTCGTAATACCCCTATAATAACTCTGAATGATCGCTATTGAAACTAATTCATGTGACTATATTTTACTTTTACACAATCTGATTTTACACATGCCTACCGAATTTTTGCCATTGTATAATCGAAAATTTGCTTTCGATTGTTCCATATGCACTTCGCTCAGTCAAGCACGCTTGCATTTGTTTTGCGTACTTCAAATAATTGATTTCGCTTACAATACACTTTCCAGGTTTTCATCTGTGCTGGTAAACACAGCATTGTTCGTATTTGGCCATGTGGAGTGTTCAGCACATTGTAAGACGCGAAAATTTGATGCATTACAGCATAATAATCGAATTTGCATACAGTACGCCATGGAGTGAAAGCGGAATTTGGCTTATTCCGATTCTTCGCCCTTCCCACCGTCCTGGTATGTCAATCCAAACATGAATCAATACACCCAAATTACAACAGTTCGAATGAGGTCCTCTGGATTCAGGTGAAGAAGGATCTTTCTCATGCAACAGCCCACATTCGATTCGGACATATTGAGACCGCCTAAATGATTATTCTGCAGCCGGTTTACAGAGAGAGGATAGATGGATCAACGCCTCATTGGGGGTCAGAGCTCTCGAATTTCCCTACGCACACTATGTTTGGTGGATTTTCGTTTGAGTGAGTGTTGAGGCTAAGGTATGTGTAACAAGAAACCGTGTTGGCGAATTCTCACTTTAAGGATCAGCATGTCGCAATGGACAAAGTGTCTTGAACACGCCGATCATATGAACAGGCGTTTCTACACATAAAATCCACCTGTTTACTGAAAGAATGGATAAAAGCCAAGTTACGCTAGATACCTTTGTTCAACGATTGACGAAAATAGCTGTGAGCTTTGCATCGCACTTTCATTGGAGTAATCAAAACACGCCATCGATATGCTTATCCAGTTATTCTAAGCCTAACTCTAACCGTAAACCTCTCCATCCTATACCTAGCTGTAGCGCGAAACTATCCGTAAGCTAATCATAATCTCACTCTATTATTATTATTGTTCCCTTGGGTTCCTAGTGGAACATAGGGCTTCAACTGCACGTCTCCACTTGCTTCTGTCTTCTGCTGTTCTTTTCACTTGCGTCCATGTTATTCCATACTGTTTCATCTCCTCCTCACACGATCTCCTCCATGTCACCCTTAGACGTCCCACTCGCCGCTTCCCTTTCTGGTTCCACTCGAGTACTGGCCTGACGCGCGATGTCACTCAACGGCCTCCTCAGCGAGTGTCCAATCCATCTCCACTTCCTCCTGCATATTTGTTGGGCGATTGGTTCCTGTTTCGTTTGTTCCCATAGCTTCTTGTTTGTGATTCTTTCCGGCCATCTAATCTTCAGTATGGAGCGAAGACAGTTGGTGATAAAGGTCTGCAACCTGTTGAAAATATTCTTGGTGACCCGCCAAGTTTCTGATCCGTAAAGCAAAATTGACTTCACGTTTGTATTGAAAATCCGAATTTTGTTGTTGATGCTGAGTTGAGTGACGAAGATTTCCAGATTGGTTTCAGGTGGATGAATGTGTTTCTCGCCTTCCCGATTCTCGATTTGACATCCTCGTCCGTTCCACCTGCCTGTAGTTGAGACAATGCTCCCTAGATAAGTGAAAGAAGTAACCTCTTTCAAATCCCTCCCGTTGATGGTGATTGGCGCTGGATGTTGCTGCTGCTTTTGTTGTTGTTGGTTGGTTATTTTCATAACCTCCGTCTTGTCTATGTTCACCTGGAGTCCTGTCTTCACTGGCTGCTTCTTCGACCAGTTTGTTGGTTTTCGCTTGTAAGTCTTCGATTTTGTGTGACATCAAACATAAATCATCCGCGAAATCCAGGTCTTCTAGGTTCTTCACGTCGGTCCAGGATATCCCTGTCTTCTCGTTTCCCACTGTCTGACGCATAATTCAGTCCACCACAATTAGGAATATCATTGGTGATAATAAGCACCCTTGTCTGACTCCTGTGTTTACTCCAAACGCCTCGCTGAGTTTTCCGTTGTGGATCACTTGACATGTGCCGTTGTCGTACAGTTGTTGAATAGGGTTGATGAATATTTGGGGTACGCCGTAGTACTCGAGTAGTTTCCAAATTACTTCGCGGTCAACGCTGTCGAAGGCCTTCTCAAAGTCTATAAAGTTGAGGTAGAGATTTGATTGCCATTCCATGCTTTGTTCGATGATAATGCGTAGAGTTGCAATTTGGTCAGAACATGATTTGCCTTTCCTGAATCCAGCTTGTTCTGGTCGGAGTTCTGTATCCAGCGCGTCCTTTATTCTCTCCAGGATGATGCGACTCAGGATTTTGCTTGGCGTCGACAGGAGCATGATTCCTCGCCAGTTCTTGCAGAGTCCCAGGTCGCCCTTCTTTGGTAGTTTCACTAGGTAACCTTTCCTCCAGTCAGTAGGCACCTTTCCCTCTTTCCAGATCTTTTGCAATAATGGAGTCAGCATATCTGCCGTCGTTTCTGGGTCCGCTTTCAGTGCTTCCGGGGGTATTCCATCTGGTCCAGCTGCTTTTCCAGCTTTCAGAAGCTTGATTGCATTCATGACTTCAGTTTTCGTTGGAGGATTGGTGTCAACTTGCAGTTGTGTACGTGCTGTTGTTGGTATTTCTGGACGGGTTGTAGGTGGTGGTTGATTCAAGAGTCCTTTGAAGTGGTCCGCCCATTGTTTAATCTGTCTTTCTTCTTTGGTCATTGGGTTCCCTTGGTTGTCTTTTATAGGTTTCACTTGTGTTGATCTCTTCCCGGATAGAGACTTGGTTATCTGATATAGTGTCCCCAGGTCCCTTTTGCCTGCTGCCTTCTCAGCTTCAGTAGCCAGGTTGTCGTAGAATTGTCTTTTGTCCTTCCTGGCACTCTTCTTCACTTCTTTGTCCAGTGCTGTGTAAGTTGAGTTCAGCGTCTCTTTCTCTTGTCCATCTTTACATTGAATCATTTTCTCTTTCACTTTTCTCCTCTCCTCTATTAGTTTCCAAGTGTCTGTTGAGAGCCATTCCTTGTCTTGTTTCTTCTTTCTTCCTAAAACCGTTGAACACGTTTCGTTGAAAATTACCTTCAGAGAGTTCCAATGGTCTTCCACGGATGATTTCTCGGTGGTGCCACGTAGTGTTTCCTGCTTTGCTCTGACAGTTGCAGTGAAAGTGTCCTTTGTGGTTGTGTCTTTCAGTTTTTGCGTGTTGAACTTGCATTGTGGCCTATCCCCAGGTATCCTCGAGGCTTTTAGCTTCACCTTGAATGTCCCTTGTACTAGATAGTGGTCTGAACCCACATCTGCTCCTCTCCTCGATCTTGTGTCCAGTATGCTCCGTCTCCACTTCCTTGAGATTGAAATGAAGTCTATCTGATTGTTGATGTGTCCATCTGGTGAAATCCATGTTGCCTTGTGTATATCCCTGTGTTTGAACACACTGCCACCAATCACCAAATCATTGAAGGCGCAGAAGTCTGAGAAGAGTTCGCCATTTTCGTTCATTTCATCGAGGGCCTCACGACCCATGGTGAGTTCTCTTCCTGTATTGTCTCCTTCCAGTTTCGCATTCATGTCGCCCATCAGGATTTTGATATCGCTCATTGGGACGTTGTCCATTACTGTTTGTAGTTGACTGTAGAAATCCTCCTTCTTCTCATGTTCTGAGGCGTTTGTAGGCGCGTAGCACTGAATGACTGTAACCTTTTTTCCTTTTGAGTTGAACCTGGCTGTCATTATCCTGAAGGAGATTGGTTCCCACTGCATGAGAGCTTTAGCCGCTGTTGGTGACATCATGATGGCTACTCCCTCGGTGTGCTCGTGATTGTCCTCTGGGTGACCGGAGTAGATTATTGTCTCTCCAGTTGATAGTTGGCTCCTTCCACATCCGATCCATCTGCTCTCGCAGATTCCCAACACTTCTATTTTATATCTCCTCATTTCTGCGGCTACCTGAGCAGCCTTCCCAGCTTCGTACATTGTACGAACATTCCACGTCCCCATCCTTATTTTTGCTCTCATCTAAAGAAGGCATATCGGCTGACTGGCTTCCCGAAGGCTTTCACCAGCCCGCGTCATTTCACTTCCCCGATTCCAGCGAAAAATAAGGTCACTATTTGTAATTTTATAATTTTGAATATATTGTGCGTTGAAGTTTTAGTAGCAATTTGGTTAAGTTTTGGGGGTGGAGTTGCTAGCACCACGCCCCAACCCTCCCTCTTTATCCGGGTTTGGGACCAGCTAGAATACTAGTGACCTGGTAATCTAGGCGAGGTTTAATCTAACTCTAGTCAACTCTAATATCCCCAGTAATGGTTTAACCTAACTCTAATCTGTTATTAGCCAAAGCCTTAACTTAATCCGTCGCTGTCCTAACCCAAAAGGTGCCAGATATCTCATTTAATATCATATCACTTCAATCAACATATTTTATTCATTATTGTAGGATTTTTGGCCCGGTGTCACTCACTTGCATACTGAGTGTTCCAAGGTCACTGGTGGGCTGGCACTCCCTTGTTACTTTTCGTCGCTCAAAGTTTAGTTTGACGCAGCCTAAGGTAGTCGAGAGAATGCAATCTCAATTTTCAGTAGAAACACTACATCCAGTTTCTCATGGAGGGTGTGGTGGTGATGGGAAAGTGCAAATATTTTTCCAGTATCACTACCAACTGACGGATAGTGACGCAGATCTCATTGACAGCATGATTAGTAGACTTTACAATGATTAAGTCGCGGGTGTAAACAATCTACTACAGCGAAATTTAGCAATGCTTTTTTACAAACCATGTACTCTTTCATACCAAGCTATATCTCAGTTGGTTGGTCGTCAGTTCGTCATAAATATATGCATTTCTGTAGACTTGTATCCCCTTCATTTATCATTTCAAGAATAAGGCGAAGTTAGGGGGAATAACAGGTAATGTGGTAAAGCCCGAGTAAAATGTTGTCAATGTCTTACACCGTCATTATTCCTGCTATGCATCAGTAGGGTTTGCGCGATCCGTCTCAGTGAC